TGGTCATCCAGACCACACTTCCTCAGGTTACAAATATTCAGTTTATGAATATTCTTCATAGTACTCTACTTAAAGAAAGTAGTGATAACTCTCATTTTAGAGACAGTGAACTGAGATACAGAAGTATTAAGTTATATTGCCTTTCCTCTGTACACAGTGTTCTGTATCACTTAGTAAGTTAAGGAAACAGCTACTGCTGATTTAAATTGAAATTTAAATTAGGAAAGGTAATTGTGTGAATTGTAGAATCGTAGAATGATCTGTGTTGGAAGAGACCTTTAAAAGTTATGGGCCATCCACAATTTATCTGAGCAACCTGTCCCCCTGTGATACCTGTGGTGTCTCACCACCTTCATTTTTTTCATATTCAATCTAAATCTACCTTTTCTTAGTTTAAAATTACTACATGTTGTTCTGTCACTACTGCTGGTAAAGTGCTGTAGTGGTTTGACCCTGTCTGGCAGCCAGGTGCCCACACAGCTGCTTTATCACTCCGCCGTCTCAGCTAGACAGGGAAGAAAATATAACAAAGGGCCCATGGTTTAAGGACACGGAGATCACCCACATCTACCGTCCCGGGCAAAACAGACTCAACTTTTGGGAAATTAGTTAAATTTATTAAAACACAATTCAGGGAAGAGTAATGAGAAATAAAAACAGATCTTAAAAATAACGCCTTCTCCCTACCCCTCCCTTCTTCCCAGGCTTAATACCAATCCCAACTTTATCTACCTCCCCTCCCCGAGTGACAGAGGGGGACAGTGAATGGGGGTTGCAGTCAGTTCATCCAATGTTGTCCCCACTGCTTGTTCTTCTTCTGAGGGAGGACTCCTCGCTCTTCTCCTGCGCCATGTGGGGTCCCTCTCGTGGAAGACAATCTCCACACACTTACTCCAATGTGAGTCATCTCACAAGAGACAGTTCTTAACAAACTGCCCCAACATGAGTCTCTCCATGGGGTGCAGTCCTTCAGGGGAAACTGCTCCAGTGCAAGTCTCCTGCGGTGTCACAAATGTCCTGCAAGCCAATCTGCTCCAGCATAGGCTTCTCTCTCTTCTGCGGGCTACAGGCTCTTGCAGCAGCCTGTGCTGTGGTCACAGCCCCCTTCAGGCATCCACCTGCTCCAGCATGGGGTCCTCCATGGGCTGTGGGTGGACACCTACACCCCATCACCTCCATGGGCTGCAGGGGGACAGCCTGTTTCACCATGATCTTCACCGTGACCTGGAAGACTCTCTGCTCCAGCGCCTGGAGCATAGCCTCCCCCCACCCCTTCTTCATATATTCTCACTCCTCTCTCTCTATGCCAGTTGTTGTGTCATACAGTGCTTTTTTCCCTGCTTCTTAAGTATATTTTCACAGAGGCGTTCCTCTCCTATCATCCCTGCTGGACTCAGCCTTGGCCAGTGGCGAGTCCTTCTTTAGAGCCAGATGGCATTGGCTCTATCAGACTTAGGGGAAACTTCTAGCAGCTTCTTGCAGAAGCTGCCCCTACAAACCCCCCGCCACTGAAATCTGGCCAAGCAAACCCAACACAATGCTTTCCTGAGTGTTGAAAGACCACAGTAAGGTTTTCCTGGAGCCTTCTCTTCCTCAGGCTGAACAACCCCAACCCTCTCAGCCTTTCTTGATAGGGCAGTTGTTCCATCCCTCTGATAGTTTTTGTTGCCCTCTTCTGGACCCATTTCAGCAGGTCCATGTCTTTTTTGTGCTGAGAACTCCAAAGCTCAACATAGCACTGCAGGTGGGGTTTCACCAGAGTGGAGTAAATGGGCAGAATCACCTCTCTTTACCTGCTGGCTGCGCTTGTTTTGATGCAGCCCAGGATGCAGTTGGCTTTCTGGGTTGCGAGCTCACAGTGCTGGCTCATGTCCAGCTTTTTATCCACCAACACCTCCAAGTCCTTCTCTGCAGGGCTGCTCTCAGTTGATTTGATACCAGAGATTTCCTTGGCACAGGTGCAGGAGCTTGTGCTTGGCCTTGTTGAACCTTGTGAGGTTCACGGACAGAGTCCCGCTTCTCAAGCTTGTTCAGGTCCCGCTGAAAGACATCTTGTCCCTCAGATGTGTCAGGCACTCCACTCAGCTTGATGTCATCTGCAAATTTGCTGAGGGTGCGCTTAATCCCACTGTCTGTGTCACGGATGAAGACAATACTGGTGCCAATATGGACCCCTAAGGAACGTGGTTTGTCAGTGATCTCCATCAAGACATGGAGCTGTTGACCACTACCCTCTAGGTCTGACCGTCCAGCCAATTCCTTATCTACTGAACAGTCCATCCATCAAATCCATCTCTCTTCAATTTAGAGAGAAGGATGTTGTAGGGGGAGGCAGTGTCAAAGGCCTTACAGAAGTCCAGATAGATGACATCGTAGCTCTTCCCTTGCCCACTGATGTAGTCACTCCAAGTGACATGAAGTTCAATATATAAAACGACAATCAAGACATAAGCAACGTGTAATAAAAAAAATGTATATTTATAATGAAGTGTAAGATGTCTATAATATGAAGTAGATTGCATTATGTATTCAAAGTTAAATATTGACATAGATGTAAGAGCTATGTTGTAGAAATCTACAACATATTGTTGAACTGTAATCTCAGAAGGAGGGAGTGTTCAAAATTATTAAAATTATTCTGATAATTATTCTGTAATTTCGGCTACTCTAGCAAAATTATAATAAATTTTAGGGGAGTTACAGTGCAAAGCTGAATAAAAGACGTACCAATGTCATAATTAAATCTACATAAGGATAATCTACCTATGCAGATGGATCCCAGTTTTAGATTCCGTACATGCCTGAAAACTCTGATTTTACACTTCAAGCTACACTAAGTGGAAGAGTGAATAAAAAAGATATGTGAGACACAAAGGAAAAATTCTTTGCCAATGCTCTATTTTTTAATTAAAGGTTTAAGTCAGTATGTTCTATATATTTATTTGAGTTTGGTTTTTGCAGCAGGAGGGTTAGTTGAAAGAAGTCATAGAAAAATCATCATTAGATCCTTTGTAATTAAATATCAAGCTCATTAATAAAAAAGTATTGGCAGAGACTCTTCAAAGAAGAGTAGTGATATCACTTGGTTTGACGTTCCATAAACAATTAAATCCTATTTTCACTATTTGGTCCAAATTCATTAATTCTGAAGTTACTTTCATTTATGCTCTTAATGGTTATTTTGCAATGAATGCTCTAGGAAATTGAAAACAGTTGGGGCACACGGTTCCTTTGGAAATTTCTATTCTTACCTTTGCTTTTATGTCCGGAGAAAACTAAAAACACACATTAAGAATAAATGTAGCTGTAAAACATGTTTTCTCTTCTTAGGTACTTTTTGTTGATCCTATCCAAGAAGACACAGGTGATTATATGAAACTGGCAGAATTATTCTATCACCATAATGTACCACTTAGGTAAGGAAAACTGAAAGTCTTGAAGAAACATGTTAGAAGGTTACTTTGCTGTTTTCTTTTTCATCTATTGTGCTAGGCAAAGATGTGAATTCAAATGAAGTTGATAACGTTCTCATAAGACACATTAGTTACCCACTTGTGGTCAGACTCTGAGCGTATTACTTACTCTTAAGGGAATAGGTTGCAAGTGAGAACATACCTGAGCATGTGGAAAGTGAACAGGAAAAGTCTGATAAAAATTATCTTCTCAAATAGTCCCGCTGCATGGCCGTGTGAGGTTGCATTCTAAGGAAAATATTCTGTAAGTAAAACATGATTTGAGGGCATTATTAAGTTGAGTTCTTTCACCTAATTTTGTTTTTACATAAATATTTAAAGACCAAAGTGAGATTATCCTTACCAAGTTCTGAATTTCTAAAAATCAGTTGTCTGAGTCTGAGCCAATTATCGTCCTTTGCCTGATTATGTCCTGAACATCTAACTGAACAGTTTTATACAGATATGAGAGATTTTGTTGTAATAGTTATAAAATATTTAATGTGAGATGGCTACCCAAATAAAAAGCTGACTTTCTAAATCAACTCTTTGAATTATCACCTGTAAACCTGAAGGTCTTCTGAAACATGGGCTCAGCATTGCAGGTTGTCTTTGGCATGTAGTAGCCCTCACGTATGGCAAAATCAAGAAATCACGTTCTTGTAGCAGCTCTGATGGAGCTCTACACTTTGTGGAAATAATTCCAAGATGTGCAACGTTTTGTATAGCAGAGGCAAGCTTTACATCTCTGTGATACTCCTTTAGAAAGAATGTAAATCCCTTGTTCTGTCTTACAGTTTGCCTCCTTTTGAAAGCTGGCATAATTTTTTACAGACTGCTGCGTATTGGACATGGCCCAGTGCTGTCATGTGTGTAGTCAGGAATAGGCAACAGCTTATACAGCTCTATTTCGTAGGTGGCTGCGACTATGTAATCCATTATTAAGTGGGTTTGGATCCGGTAGGGATCCAAACCTGTAGGTTTGCTAAAAAGTTGAGTAGCTGCTTCTCTAGGGATTTTTCATGGAGGAGCTTTTTTGTACCCTGTTGTTCATTTCTGATTCATAAAACCGTCTGGTTTGGGCCATCTTCCTCCTATTCCTTTCTCCCCTTCTACAAGCAGGCTTCATGTCTCAGGGCAGGGGGTGGAGGGGAGGCCATCTATTCTTCTGAGAAAATTTAATGAGATCACACAGTGGAAGGCTTGGAAATCCTTAGAAGCATTCTGATGGCTTTGTGCTCACAGATTTCCAGGTGACTGGCAGAATCCGCCTTCCTAGTCTTCATCTCTTAACGCAGGCAGCTGTCTTCATGAATAAGTTTGTATTTCTCCCCTTAGAAATCTGTATGTTCTAGCTATGGATGTACACGTGCTCTGTTATACTTAAGGCTCAAGAGAAGGATCTTTCTTGGTCTTTTCCTAAATCAGCTAAGACATGGAGCTGACTGTAATGATCAGAAGTCCTTTCCAGTAGTTTAGAAAAGACCAAAATGATCCTTATGTATTCTCAGCATTTAACTTGAAATATCTTCAGTTTAACTCTCCTGGGTCTTCAGTCTGTGAAGGACTTGGTGCTTTAGTGATGGTGCCATTCTCTGCAGTTTGTTTCACCAGATTGTCTCATTGCTCAAAGCCTTAGTTCCCTGGAGGAACAGGATCTTCACATCAGTATCTTGGACTTCTGGGGATTTTGGAGCATGTGCCAACTTTCAGTGGCATCTTCATGCGTTATGTGTGTAACTGATGATGCTCAGTTTAATCAACATGTTATTTGTAGACAAACAAGTGGCTGTTAGGTTTGCATTTCCCCTGCTATTGTAGAACACCAGTTCTCTCTTATGCTTTATGCTGTAAGGATTGTATTGCCTGATCAATCCGTTTGGTTTTTTTTTCATGAAAACAGTGTCAAAAATACATTTCTCTAGGAGTTTTCTGGGCCTTTTTTCCTCTCAAACCTCAGATTTCTAGGGCTTTTTTCATTTAATGGAAATGTAGGTAATTGTAGAATATATATTAACAGAACAGAACAGAAATTAAGTCACCATAGAAAGTGAAAAAAAAAAAAAGGTAAGAGAAGGGCTAGTAAGAATGGTGTATATTGATGACAGGATGTCAAAACCCAGCATGTCTACATGCAACTACTTGAGACACACATTTCACACATTTCAGGAAAAATAAAAGACAGGCATTGCCCAGACTAAAACAAATACTCAAGCCATGTAAATGGAAGGAATATAAAGAAAGTGACAACCTTCAGACAGATGAGGAGGGAAAGGGATGTAAGTAAATCCTAAATCCTTAATTACGGTCGGCCTTAAATGGTAGAAAAGGCACATCCAAAATCAGGACATGATTGGTAACCTAAGCATAATCTAGGAGACCTGATGAAGGCTGCAGAGCTGGTATCCTCCGTGTCACCACTCACAGTCACGGCGACACCACTGAGATACAGATGTTTTTGACCCTACACGCTGGATAGAATTCTTGAATGCAAACATCTTTTTCTTCTCTGTCATTATTGGAATGTGTGTGAACCTGGTGTTATCTTGAGATCTATGATGTCTTTTTGTTTGTTTGTAGAATTGGATTTGTTTTCATTCTAAATACAAAAGAAGAAATTGATGGAAATGAAGATGCTGGAATAGCTCTCTGGAGAACTTTTAATTACATTGCAGAGGAATCTGACACCTCTCAAGCCTTTACCTCAATAATTAATGTTAGTTCTTTCACAAGAAATCACCTTTTTCTTTGTTAAACTTACTACTTTTCTATACAGTTAGGATTTTGCTACCTTGTGACAATGCAATACATTGGCATTTACGTTGCTCGGAAATATTAAAAACATAGATAGCATTAATATGCTATAATATGATTTTCAGAAATGCTTTCCTTCTCTGGAAACCAACTTGCTTTTGTCATCTTATCTGTCTACAGGCTTTCTTCAAGAATGTAAAAAGGTAGATGCATGCCTTACAGCTTTTAATATTTTTGTGTGAAAAATGATTCTATGTTATCTGTGTTAATGTGATGTGCCTGTCTTTGTGTTCTGTATCTCTTGGAGTACAGGCATTTTAATATCACTTTCGCAGTTCTATAAGTTTTGAAAATCCTGTGGATTTTCTCTAGTGTAGAAGGTGAAACAGAGTAAGATAAGTTCTTTTTTGGTCATGCTTGAGTTGCTCATGGGTGTAGAAAACATAAATAATCCAGGCTTGCAGCTTAATAAATGAAACATGTATCTTCTGTAGGAGAATACAGGTTCACATAAAGGCAGGAATTTTAGAGATGAGATATGAATGGAGGAAAATAAAGTGAGCGGTCTATGTGAAGACTCTGCAGGCACAATTATATCAGAGAATATGATATTAATAGCTAAAATCTTTTCTTACTTTTGGTTTCTATTGTTTTATTCAGTGCGTAGAAACTTGGAGAGCTTAAGATAAAAGGACTTTAACTAACTAGGAGTACCTTGAAAGAGAAATAGAAACACACAAATCTTAGGAGCTGATGTGCATGCGTGACTATTGTCCATGACAAGATCACAAAATACCAATTTAGAGTGGGCTTTTGAAAATGTTGTGTTCCTCTGTTTACTTTGTTTCATAATATACGAAGGACAGGATGATAAATATAATTAAAAGGAAACAAAAATAGAATGAATAAAATACAAGTTTGAGATATTGAGAGCTATAGAGAGAAATGTATTGTTCATAATTTGAAAATACATGGATTGAATAATATTCACTTCACATTTCTTTTGTATGTTTGGTGAAAGTAAAAACATCTTATGCTATGAAATAAAATAGCGTTGATAAGGAAAAATTGTTGCTCTAGGGAAAAGTATCACTGAGTGATTCAGGCTTGGCTTCATCCCATATAGATCCAGGTAACTACCAATGGTTAGGTAGTTTATAGAAAGATTCAGATTCCTTCCTTAATCAATGGAGAAAAATAAACTTTCACATTCATCTCACAAAAGTGTATTTCCTTTCCCATGACAGATTTAGACTAAAGGTATAACAACAGATTAATCAGAACAGTGCTCTGATGAAAAATTGTATGTGCCATGATGATGATTACTAAAGCACTATGAAAACTACAATAAAGACAATGTGAAAGTAAACCCATATAAAATTTACTAGCGCACTATAAAAAGATATTTACTTTATTATTTGCTTTTCGTTAGTTTTATTGAATTATGATCAACAATTTATTACATTTTTGTTCATTTATTTCTGTTAAAATTTTTACAGATGTACCATGAAGTTAAAGATGGAAATGTTCTAACAGTAAATCATGTGAAAGGTGTTCTTCGAAGCGAATACCCACATGCTGATGTTCAGAGTATACTAGATGTTCATTCTGAATACGATGAAGGGAGGAAGGTACGTTGAGAGCAAAGTGGAAAGAAATTCAACAGTACATAATTTATTGCATTTGCTAAGCTGAAAGATTGCTGAATGTTAAAGCAAGTAAATATGGTATCTTTGAGTCAAATTTTAATTCAGCCATCATTCAGTCATTGTCAGAAACGTTGAAAGGATTTCTATGTTAGGGCTCTCACATCCTGGTCCCCATCCCTGGAGGCATTTAAAAGACACGCAGATACGGCGCTCAGGGACATGGTTTAGTGGTGCACCTGGCATCGCTACACTAATGGTTGGACTCAATGATCTTAAAGGTCTTTTCCAATCTAAACGATTCTATGATGATGTTAAATTTTACCATTGCCTGGTGCATTCAGGAGTACAATATTTTTTTTTCTATTAAGCATGTCAAGAGGCCTCTCTTGAACTGCAGAAGTTGTTTAGCTGTGTCTGCTGGGTGACGAGCTGAAGCCTGTCTTTTGGGCAGACCATCATTTCTTTTAACTGTGCTCTCTGGTTATAATTTCCTTTGGAAAGACAGCTATAGATTTTGATTAAAAGGCTGTGGAGAGGACATTTTTATCTATAGTTGATTATGTAGATTTTTTCTGCTAAAATATATATAAAAATACCATTTTCCTTCATGTGTTTTCAGCTGTGTCACCTCTATATCTTGTGTTCCTGACACACACCATTCATTTTATTTCCTTTTAAATTTTTTAATAGAATGTATATTATGTTCCTTTTAAAAAGTGCATCTGGGCATCCAGAAAAAAAAAAAAACCAAAAAAGGTGCTGTTTGCCTTACTCTGCTTGTTTCTCACTGAGTTGCATGGAGGCTTCATATAGAAGAGCAGTTTGAATGTGCCCTGGAAACAGCTGCATATACTTCGGTGGGAGGAAAGCATCACATAGGAAATAATAACGGAAGAAAAATTGACAGGCAACAGGGGGAAGACCCCTGTACAAGCAGGGACAGTAGTGGAGATCAGGAAGGAGACAAGAGTGGGCTGACAGAAGGACGGATGCATAGACACTGCTGTAGATTTTGTAGCCATCCAGAAAGTAACACTGAACGGAAATAAGAGGATGCACTATGGGAAAGGGGAATTACTTACATTTTTGTTTCTATTTATCTCGTGGAATTTTCTCTATTTGAAATAAAAATGAGCTTGTTGTTCCTTCTTCTCAAATCAAGCTTGGCAACTGAAGGTAAAAGTCTTTTGAGGTTTTTGGGGGGCAGGTCTAGGTTGATCCATGTGAAACTATCACTGTCTTAAGGTCGTTCTCCAATGTTATTAATATTTCTTTGTTAGGAATGTTAAGCAAAATAAAGTAATATTTCTCAGCAAGGTGATAAAGCAGAAGTTTAAAACACCGCATAGAGATCTATCATTTCTTTTCTCATTCTATTTGAAAAATGAGTCCCAAGTGTCCCATTCGGTTTCCAAACATTTCCTGTTTTGACCCTGCTACTCATGAGAAGGTGTGACAGTGAAGATTGCTTGGAGATTAGATTTCGTTGTCTCTTGATATTAGTTTCATTTCTTGCTACAGTCAGCCACAGTCTATTTAATTCTGTGATATTTCTGATATGATCAGGCAGGAGCAACCTTTTATAAAAAGACTGGCCTGGGTCCGTTGCCTCAAGCTCTGTTTAATGGCGTGCCCTTTAACAGAGAAGAGATGGATGCTGCAGAGTTAGAGACAGTTATTCTTCAGAGGATTATTGATGCCACTGGCTTCTTCCAGAGGGCAGTCTTCATGGTATGTTTAACATTTCTGAATGAATGCAAGATGAAATATTTGGCAGTGAATTGTTTGAGTCGTGTTTATGTTTATTTTTTTTATAATGAGGTGGCTTGAAATTAATATTATGACTGAAATGACGTTGTTACGTGGTTTTGAAACAGTATATTTAGTTTATACAAGACTGAAGAATCAGCTAAACAGATAGTAATTATATGGAATTTTCCAACCAGAAACTGAGAATGATCTGCTCGTTGCAAAAATGTCTGTGTGACACTTTGAGATACTATTTTTTGACTTGACATTGTCCGTAACTTGGTGTATATAGAAGCTTTAGTCTCACCTGAAAGATGTACAAATATCTTTGTCTTGAAAGTATGAAAATACAGATTTTTTTTCTTTTTATTTTTACTACAGGGTGTGTTAAATGATCACATGAATGCAATGGATTTTCTTATGGATCAACATAATGTAGTTTCCCGTACAAACCCCACTATACTTGCAGCAGAAAGAAGATACATACATTTCAGATCCACATCTGGTAACTACTTTTGTCAAATTGGCTGTTGTTATGATTATCCTTTTTTAAGTCTAACGTGTTCTATTTTACATTTCACAGTGCCATTTGATGTGGAAGACTTCTCTACTTTCTCTTTTTTGGACTCACAAGATAAAAGTGCTGTAATTTCAGACAGCATGAAGTATTTAACAAAAAAGGGTATATTCATTTTCTATATGAGTTATATGTTACATATTTATGTTACATATTTTAATATATGAAGCTTTTTCTATGGAAAAGAAAAAATATATATTCTGATGGATTGTCACTCATACACTTTGTCTTACTAAGACTCACACTTTTTTGTACATTTGAAATATTTTTTCATGTAAAATATTCTTATTGATTATGCAGGCACTTTCCCTTGGAGTTAGAAGAAATTACAGTTACAACAGCAGGGGCATAATACTACAAGGAATTTTGCAGTAATCTGTACCTCGTTAACTTCTAGGAGTTATCACTTAACAAGTAGTCCTTTACATCAATCCGTCAAGGAACAGAAGAATTCTGTTAACAAAGTGCTTTTCTTTCAGTAATTTTTATGTGCTATTAACATAGTTTTCACTTACTCCGTTATCAGAAAGAAACAACATATACTTAGATTTCTTTAGAATAAAATTACTTGAGTCTCTTTGATCCTCTGTCTACACAGACAGGGATGTCCTAGCTAGTTGTCAGATAGATGATGACTGGCTTTCAATCTGCAGGCTCATATCTAAGTTTCAGATCTCTTGTGCAAAACTCCTAACCTTTAAGTTGGAATCTACATTTCAAATCTCTGTCCCCAGTGTGTTTCTCTAGACTGCAGCAACACTTATTAGTAACCTCTTCCTAGAATCTCCCCAGAACCTTGTAAAATCCCCGTCTGTATGTATTACCTTTTCAGGGGGTATATGATACACATGAGAAGACTGGTAGTCTTTGACAGATAATTTTACAAAATTCTTCATGTACCGTTGCTTTTCTATGCAAAGTAAAGAACAGGAGGCTGTAGACCAGGAAACAGAGAAAATTTTCTGCATATACACCTGTATTTTACTTTCTTTGGACTGTATTTGGTATACTCCTGTTTGTGTGGAGCAGTAAGTTTTGTCCTGCCTTTGGCTGAAGGAACCTCTCTGTGCTGCCAGGGGAAGTGAACGGCCTAACTCATGCATTCTTGTAACTACTTAACTTCATTTCTGGCTATGTGACCAGCCCCCATCAAATGTTCACAAGAAACCTCTGATAAAGCAGGTCTGGTTGATTGCAACTAGCTCATTTTCAGGACTGTCTTGTTTCAGTGGTGCAACAATAGATTGGCTCTTTTATTGACTCTCACATATCACCATGATAAGTTACCTCCTAGGAATTTTCAGTTCAGAGGGCAAAAGATTTTTACCTGGCAAGATTAGTCTTATAGTTGAAGTCAGCAGTCAAACATACACGTAAACTTCAAGATCTCAAACAGAATTGATTCATTAGTCATTACTCGTGAGAAGATGCTCCAGAATGTAAAGCAGAATTATTTTTAATTTTCAGGTGAGGATGCATTATACGCTGTTACTATCTGGATTATTGCTGATTTTGATAAGCCATCTGGGAGACGACTGCTTTCTAATGCCTTGAAACACCTGGTGAGCCTGTGCTTTCATTTTGCTCTACTCTCCTGCAGCACTGGCATCTTACAGGCCTGCAAATTATCATGTAGTTCATGGATTCCTGACACAGGAGATAAGCTATGGCGCTGTACATTAAAAGGGTGAATTTCTCCCCCATTACAGACCTTTTTCCACAAGGTAAACTGGCATGTTACCTGGGCCAGGGCCGTTAGGATAATGCCCGTTGATGTGAACTATTACACAGTGTTCTCCTGTATCATACGGCATAGCTGTGGCCATGAAGTGACCGTTTTTCCACGTACTGTTTGTATGCTTCTGAGACAGATTAGAATTTTTTTGGTGTTTTAATATGCTGGGAGGGTCATCCGTATATTGAGTTTGCTTATTTTTAAGTTCTTTGGTATTAATAACAGCATTTCAAGTATACAACTGTCACATGGCTATAAATTTCCAAAAACCCCCTCAGTTCTGAGTAGGTTAGAAGAGTAATTAAACTGAAAATGGGAAAACATCTAGATGTACTAATCAGGAATGAAACAGGAACCACCCCAAGGGAATTATGAAATTGATACATTGCAGGGAGTCTGTGATACCAAATATGTCTTAAGAAGAAGCCTAAAAAACTGCAAAGTGGAATATGCAGTACGAGTCCTTGTTACAGAAAAACATTTTATTTATCTGACTGCTAGATCTGTGACCCAATCTTGACAGGTGTATTTCCTCTGTAGTTTCATTTTTTCCCCCTTTAGTGGGAAAAATATGCCATAGATCCCAACTGAGATGTGAGAACAATCTGGGCCAAGTCCTCCTGTGTTAGTGAGGAGAATCCAGGAAGAACATTAGAAAAAGCCGTTCTGAGTAAGTTTTATTGGATCTTTTGTGAAATAGCAGTTTAACTGGTTATCTTCATTGGGATTCATAGATTTGATTTAGATAAACTTTATGTACTGCTTGGCCCAGTGATTTCTGAGTTACATTAAAAAAAAAAACCCACACACTTTTTGTCTTGTTGTCAAGTCCACTGATTTGTGTGGAAATTCTCTATTCCTTTGCAGTCCCTTTTGTCTGTCAGGTTAGATCTAGCAGAATTTCTGATAGGTGCAGAAATGGCACGGGCACCTCGTGTGCTGACTTGTCATCAGCATTTGAAGATAAGTGTGCAAGAATCTGGGAGGGGAAGTGGCCGAAGGGAGCTCACTTTTAACTCTTCCAGCTCATATACAGTGTTTTGAAAACTGACATTGTATTTTTACTTCATTTGAGAAAAATAAAAAGATGTTTTAGCTGGAAGAGACCTCTGGAAGTGATCTAGCTCAGCCTCCCTCTCAAAGTGGGATTACTGCCATTGTTAGAACAGGCCAGCTCTCAGTTTGTCTGAAGGAGTCCTGAAAAGCTCCAAGAGGGTGACTCCGTCCCCTCCCTTGACAATTTGCTCTGGTGTTGCACTGCCTTCCTGGTGTATATTTTTCCTGCCAGGACATAATTTGTGATCATTACCCTTTTTTACGCTATTTGCTGCTACCAAGAAGAATTTGGCCCGGTCATGTTTTTCACTCCCGTTTCAGTAGCTGTTGGTTGCTATTAGGGTTCTCTGTAGCCTCCTCCTTGCCAGACCAAGAGAGCCCAACTTCTTCAGTGCCTCCTCACAGGCTCTGACCATCTCAGTAGCCCTTTGCTGAAGCCTCTCCAGCATCTCAGCATCCTTACTGCACTGTGGGGACCAAAACCAGGCACAGCAGTCCCAGTGCAGCCTCAAGAGCAGCAAGTAGTGAAGAATTAGAAGTTAACTCTTGCTTGGCTTGTCATGTGTCTCCTACTCTAGCCAAGTATAGCACCATCCTCTTCTCAGTGGTGCCCAGTGACAGGACAAGGGGCAATGGTCACAAACTGGAAAACAGGAGGTTCAACTTAAATATAAGGAAATTCTTCTTTACTGTGAAGGTGACAGAGCGCTGGCACAGGCTGCCCAGAGAGGTTGTGTAGTCTCTTTTTCTGGAGACTTTCAAACCCCGCCTGGACGTGTTCCTGTGTGGCTGCCCTAGGGGATCCTGCTCTGGCAGGGGGTTGGACTAGATGATCTGTAGAGGTCCCTTCCAACCCCGACCATCCCGTGATTCTGTAATTCTGTTTCCTTTTCCAGCGAGAGCACGCTTCTCAGGAACATTTTGAAGTACACATTTTCAAGCTTTTCAAAGAAGTATTTTAGCAGAACTTTCCTCAAGGGCTGTAGTTTAAAGTTTGCTGTTTAAATATGTTGAAAACTAGTGTTTTCATTCCTTATTTTCATATTCTTTCCTGCAATAGTTTATTTACCTTTTCTTTGATAAGCGATACTTATTTGATCCTACCTGAGAATCATCACTCTCCCTAGTAAAACATAAGTAGCATAAGTGGCATCATTGCTTTTAGCAAGTGAAACATTTGCCTGCTGATTAAAGTGATAAGTGGATAAATTTACTTGTATTTATTTTATGCTTAGTATGATAGTTTTTGAAGAATAGAAAAGCATCTACAAAACCAATTCTGAAGTCTAAATGAACACTTGTATATTTCCTTTCTTAAAAATACACTTCTACAATATTCTGAAAAGGCAATCACTCTATATAAAAAACTCCTTCCATTTAAAATAAGCATTACAGAATAAGTAAATCCTTACTAATAACATTTTTACTTCTAGTTCTGAATTAAGCACCGATGTATGTTTTCTAAAGACAAATAGCTGCAAAAAAAATAAATACTTCAGGGCATTTCACAGAGTTGTAATTGATACGAATACCTCACGTGACAGCAGATGGAACTGTAAAATTGTGCATTATTCTGTATTTTTCCTTGCAGAAAACAAGCAGTCATACACGAATTGGGATTTTGAACAATCCTTCATCAAAAATAGAGGAAGATAACACCGCTGTTGCGAGAGGAATTTTGGCTGCTTTTCTAACCCAAAACAACAGCAACTTAAAAAGCTTCCTAAGTAAACTCAGTAAGGAAGAGACAGCAAAATCCCTTGCTGCTGGAGCTAAAATCACGCAATTCCTCATCCCAGTGAGTGCAAACTAAGTTACACTACTTTCTTTTGCATTTTATGTATATCTTATTGTAGGGAGTTGAGAGTAACAGTGTTTGACCAAACACTGTGAAATTCTTAACTCCTATACAGTTTTTGCTCAAGCAGATTTTGATTTTTAACAACTTTTATGTGATGGAAAAATACAAAATTTCTTTGAAGTAAAGGAAGAAAACATGAGAGTACTTCAAAATACAGAGTACAAGTATAGGATTATTGAGACCAAAATGAAACTATTTTAAATTTTTGATGTTTTACATTTTTTTTAGCTCTCTTAATTAAAGTTACAGTATTAATATTTGTCAAGAATTAAGACTTTGGAGTAACTGTTTTTACTTTGCAGATGTGTTTGTGAGCAGTAATAGGCACAGGCTGTAGTGGTTGAGGTTAATGAGGATTGTTTACTTAAGGTGTGTTTCTACATGAATTCATTACTTTGAAATACAAATGTTGCTGATTTTGAAGTTCACATATAGAGTGGAGCTTGATTATCAAGTAACAGCTGCAAGCTATGTTCTTGTTTCAGAAGGAGCTGGAAATTGTAGTATTTTTAAATAGGAAGACTTGGAAGACGAAGAGAACTCTCTGGCACCATATCGGAAAATTAATTAGCTGGTTTGGGTCATGCTCCTATTTCATTGTCTAATAGATTTCGAAAGTCATAAGGAGAGCTAATTAAGCAGTGTATGCATGTTACTAATTTACTTGGTTATATTAATTGTATCTGAATGAATCTATTTGCTTGGTCTGTATATTTCTAATGAAGAAATACTCATTGGTAGAGATTAAAACAGCAGGGTAATTCTGTCAAGTGAGGCACAGTGCTGCTGTGAGCATGCCAATGTTCCAGCATTTTTTTTCCCACTTTGAAGAATGACTTATTCTGTGTCTTACTGAACAACATTAGCTTCCCCAAAAACACATTTAATCTGTATCCAGTCACCATGTTAAAATGACTATCAGGTTTTTAGAGAATTAAGAATTTATTTCTTTTATATCTTTTTCCTAGAAGTGAGAATACAGTTCAGTTGATACCAGAGACTGTTTTTTTTCAGATCTAGCTGTGTGCTGGATCGTAGAAAAAGTGCTTGACTTTGGGTTGAGCTTCCCTCTCACAGTTATTCACAGTTGCCTGAGGGTAAACCTGCACACGAGCTGGTTGGGAGACCATGGCTCCACACCGACAGTCGTGGACTGATACCAAAGCTGAGGTAGTTCACATTTCCTTTGGATTCCTGCTTACCACATAACCTGAAGAAAACCTGTGATTACATCAGCTGTTACAAAATACACTTTTCTGAATCATTCCAACTTCTCATGCTTTGCCTTCGCTTTAGGGAATGGACGGTGATACTTTTGAGAAGAAGTACAACACTTTAGGACTGGATTTGATTAAAACCCACCAGATGTTCTGCCAGGAGGTTCTTAAGCTGCTTCCTGGGCAAACGGGTGTTATGTGCAATGGCAGGGTAAGCAAGAAATTAAGTTGTTGCTCAATCTTATTGTTAGGGGTTTTTTTGCTTCATGGAACTTTAATTCCAAGCTAAAGAAGTTGCATTATATTGCTTTTCCTCTTATTTAGCTTGTTATTAGACAGCAATGTTTGCCTTGGTTTTTATTTTATTTTTCTCTGTTAGCTCCATTCCACTGATGCTACTATGTGTGCGTGACGTTCCCACAGCTAGTTAAGAGTTAATCTGAAAAAAATTCTCTGAATAGGTTAATATTTTATGCATTATTAATGATACTTGAGAATAAATTTTTTATCCTGAAATTACCTCTATGATTTACACATTTAAGATAGGATAAACTGCTGCAGGTATAATAAAAAATAAATTACATTGACTAGGGTAGTATTTCAAGCTCTAAACTCCCATTTTTATAAATACTAAATTGTTCTATAGTCTTAATTTTCAAATAAAAGTCTAGTAGTTCTGTTGTTTCAGTTTCTTGTATGTATATTCTGAAGCCAATAGCCTTAATTACAGTGTGGCTATAGATGAACTGTGATTAAGAAATGCAATATTGGGTTCAATATTTACTACTTGTTAATAACGACAGTCAATACCTTACATTATAAATACAATTTATTCAAACTACTCTTTGAGTTAACTCTTTTCTATTTTCTATTTATTGCTCCATGATTAAAAAGAAGAGGAGATACTATGTAGGCATTTCATTATGGGGAACTCTTTCAATTCTGTTATTACTTAATTTTGTGCATCCTAAATGGCTTCTAAGATACAATTAAAACAGAAAACAATTTTGCTGATGAAGCACGAAAGAATTGTGTTGGGTTTTTTATGTGAACCCCTATACCTGCGTATGCAATGTTATATTATAAATGCTTATTATTATTTTCTATGCCTAAAAAAGCTCAAATAACATCATAGTTTAAGTCTAGAGAAAATAGATTTTTTTAAAAAATACTTGATTAAATTTGATAATTCTATCTTTTTGAAAGTGTGTTTTCACTTTAAAAGATTATTTTTTAAAGTCATGGAGTATCCTTCATTTCTATCCTTACTATTTCAGCGCTAAAGCTTTGGTTTTATGAGCAAGTTTGGTTTTTTTAATCGTGACTTCTACAAAAGTAATGTGGTATTTCATAACCACACTTTGAATTTATCTCTCATGCATCATTAATATTAATAAAAATATGTAAAAGTGGAATTTTGTTAGATAACCTCTCATTTCTATTTAATATATTCATCAGTGACCTGGATGAGG